TGGGCAAATGCATCAGGCTGCAAGGTCAGTTTGAACTGCAAGGTCGGTGGTTCAAGCTCACCCGCTGCTCCTTGGAAAGCCTACACAGGGTTGCTATGGGTCAGAATCGACTTGATTGTACTTAACAACAACAATTTAACTCAGGATAATATCCTCAAGGTTCATCCATGTTATGTGGTAGTTTGTAGCTTCATACTTTTCCATTGTGTGTATGTACCAGAGTTTGTTTATTCATTCTTCCATTGATGGGCACTTAGGCTGTCTCCATCTTTTTGCTATTGTGAATAGTGCTGTGATAAACATTGGTGTGCATATATCTACTCGTATTCTGGCTCATATTTCTTGTGGCTATATACCAAGTAGAGGAATTGCTGGATCATAAGGTATTTCTTTCCAACTTTCTGAGGAAGCACCATATCATTTTCCAGAGTGGTGGAATCATTTTACATTCCCACCAACAATGTAAGAGGGTCCCAGTCTCTCCACATCCTTGCCAGCATTTATTGTCCTCTGCTTTTTTGAATTTCACTGTTATTGCTGGTGTGAGATGATAGCTCATTGTTGTTTTGATTTGGCTAATGATTGTGAACATTTCTTCATATGTTTGTTGGCTGCCCACATGTCTTCCTTGGTGAAGTGTCTGTTCAGGTCTTGTGCCCATTTTTAAATTGAGTTGTTATTTTGTTGTAGAGGTGTTGTAATTTCCTATAGACTTTAGAGATTAGTCTCTTGTCTGATATGTCATTGCAAAAGATTCTTTTCCATTCTATCCCTTTTTACTCTTTTGGTGAATGTTTACTTGTGTTTTATTAACTATGCAAAGACATTTGTCTGTTGATCATAACAATGAATAGCATTGTAAAGAATGAGAATTCCATAGCACTTAATTGTTCTCATATGAAACCTGTACCTTCAGTATGGATCACGACTAGATGTAAAGAAAACAAAGCTCCTCACAACAGCACCAATAAGCAACATCATGATAAACTGACAAAAGATCAAAGTTGTCAAGGATTTCATTCTGTTTGGATCCGTAATCAACACTTACGGAAACAGCAGTCAAAAAAATCAAACAAGGTAGTGTGTTGGACAAATTGTCTGCAAAAGATCTCTTTAAAGTGATGGTGGTGGTGGTGTGCCGTGGAGTCGGTTCCGACTCATAGCGACCCTGCATAGGGTTTCTGAGGCTGTAAATCTTTAGAGGAGCAGAAAGCCTCATCTTTCTCCTATGGAACGGCTGGTAGTTTTGAACTGCTGACCTTGTACACTAGTAACCACTACACTAGTGATAGAGAGCAAAAATGTCACTTTGAGGACTGAGATCTGTCTGACCCAAGCCATAGTATTTTATATTGCCTCAGATGTGTATGAAAGCTGGACAATAAATAAGGAAAACTAAAGAAGGATTGATGGCTTTGATTTATAATGTTGTTGGAGAATAATGAATATACCACGGACTACTAGGAGACCTGGTGTGGCGCTGCAGGATAATGCACTGGACCATATGTATTGTCAGTTTGAACTAACTATACAGAAGGTCGGTGGTTCAAACTCACCAGCTGCTCCTTGGAAACCCTATACGGGGTCTCTGTGAGTCAGAACAGACTCAGTGACACTTAACAACAACAACTCCAGAAGAATAAACAAATCTGGTTTTGAGGCGAGAGTGACAAGACTTCATCTTATGTAGATTCGTTGGACATGTCATCAGGAGGGGCCAATCCCTGGAGAAGGACATCATGCTCAGTAAAGTAGAGGGCTAGTGGACAAGATGATGACCTTCAATGGGATGGATTGACACAGGCTGCCACAATGGTCTCAAACCTAGGACAGGTGGCGAGGATGGTGCTGGACTGGGCAATGTTTCATTCTGTTGGACACAGGGTCGCTATAAGGTGGAAGCGACTCAACAGCACCTAAACACAGTTCGAAGCTGTGGGGTCCTTCACTTATCTGACCCTCAGTCTCCTCCTCTGTCCAGGGATTGGGAGCATTCTGGGGAGAGAGGCGTTCTGGGTACAAACTGGGATCTGACCATCAAGGAGTAGGTGTGTATGTGTGTACATTCCCATCCTCCCCCAGAATGGATGGAAAAGGATGAGAATGAGGGGTTTGGGGAGGACAGTGTGGGGACTCATGAGGTAGCTTGCCCTTTGATGGGTTGGGGCAGATGCAAGAGAAACACTGGATGTCTAGAGTTCACCCTGCAGGGGACAGAGGACCCCAGTTCCTAGCTGGGGCTAGACAGAAGGCAAGTCTTCCCAAGGAGCATTGAGGCCCTACTGTCTTCATGCTCTGTGACCTCTCGGTGGCTCTCCCCTGGCTACAGCATGGCCACCATTGGGGTCTGGTGGGGCCAACGGCAGTGAGATTGGTGGCTGGCCCCGCCTCCACCCCTGGAAGGCCAGCTGGGGGGTGGGGGTGAAGGCAGAGTGCCCCCAGGCTGCCTGCTGGTGGTGAGTAGGGTCTGTTTGTCTTGGTGGGCGGCTTGGGTCTTAGCCCAGGGGTTTCAGCGGAATTTTAGGGTGTGGCGGGTCTGAGGGGCAGTGGGCATTAATTCACTGGCGTTGGGTGAGGAGGACGTGGAGAGGAGGCTGCAGGGACCCTGGGGATGTCCGACCTCCCAGCGTCACACTCGGGACACCGCCGCTGCGCAGTGCCCTGGATCGCCTCCCTTAGTCCCCACATGCCCGTCAAGTCCACCGGGCCTTCCCTGCGCTGCGGGGGGCGCGGGGCGGAGCGGCGGGTGGGGGCGGGGCGGAGCGCGGCCGCGGGCGGAGCGGGAGCAAGCGGGGCCCAGCGACCGCTGCCCGTTGCAGAGGCGCTAGGCTGGGCAGCCAGGCCCGCACAGCATTTACCAGCGGCGGGGACGGCGCGGAGCTGGGCCTCTGGGCGGTAGGCGCTGCCGGCCGGGCCTGCAAAAGCCCACCCCCACCCCCAAGGCCAGGAGACAGGGAGGACCGGGCGCTGCGGGTGAGGACCAGGGACAGAGGACCAGGGACGGAGGGTGGCGGTGGCCAGGCCCTGCTGAAGAAGCTTTGGTGGGGCAAGATGAGCCGACTCAGAGCCGCTGAGCCCCTTGTGATCGCGGTCTTCACCCTGCCGACCCCCTCCTTTTCCCGGCCCTTCTCTGAGCATTGGTGGGGGGCATCGGGAGAGACCCAGGAGGAACGGAGAGGGGGGCAATGAAGGGCATGGAGGCTCCAAGAGTTCGCGGGCGCACAGGAGACCGGGCCAAGTGGGCCTGGCGCCAGATCCAGAGAGAGAGAGACAGAGACAGAGAGAGAGGCCTGCAAGGTGTGGGGGAGGTGTGGTGGGGCCAGGCATTGGCTTCCCAGGGTGGGTGGTTGGGGGGCTTCCTCTGTGAGCGCGGGTTTGACTACTGACAGACCGAGCAGACCGAGCAGCGGCTATTTGAGAGGAAGGAAAATTCCCAGGCTGTATTTGCAGCTAGAGAAGACACACGTAGAGCCAGAGCCGGGGTGGGTTTCCTGGGTTAGAAGTGTCACCCATGGCCGTGAGAACAGGTGACTGTGGAGCTGGGGAGCGGGAAGCCGTGAACCCTTGGAGGCAGGCACTGCTGAACCCACTTGAGCATTTGGACTCAGGCGGGTTGGGGCTTAAGTAGGTAACTTGAGGACTCCTTAGGCCAGGTGCTTGCCTGGGGCAGGGTCCAAGTTCAAGGAGTAGGCTATCTGTGTCTGTTGGATGTCTGGCCTGTGCTTTCTGGGATCCGTGGAGCTGCAGCACTAACATCACGAGAGCCATTAAAATGGACATCCTGGTCTAGACAGGGCAGTAAATAGAGGCCCTGGGACAGGGTTTTGGAGGGGAGGGTCAAGGGAGGGGGCAGTCCTGGCTAGGTGTGACCTTCCAGCAGGGAAGGCATGAGGTCTGCCTGATGGGACTAGGTGTGCGGATTCCAACCCTAGTGTGGCAGAAGGGTGGGTTACGGAGCAAGGACAACCACAGCTGGTGTCAGAGAGGGTGTGTGGGACTGGGGAAGCCCACAGAGGGTCCTAGTGAGTGGAGTGGGCAGGAGACCACGTGTGCAACATGAGCAGGCGAGTGTGGGGGTCTCAGGGCAGGGAGTGTGGGGTGTATAGGACAAGAGAGGCTGCCAGGACAAGTGGAGAGGCAGCAAAGACAATAGGCAGCCATGCAGGGAGCAGGGCAGTTAGTTGATGGTCCCCCCTGTACCTGTATAGGAAAGGACCAGCCGAAGTTGGTCAGAGCAGGAGAGAGTATGGGGGTTGCAAAGCAGGGGTACAGAGGCTTGGAAAAATGAGCAGAACCACCAGGAATTGAATGGCCCCCAGTCCCGGGACAGAAAGCCTGCCCACAGCTCTTCTGGTATCCAGTACCCGTTGGACCCGCCCTCAGGTTTCATGAAGCACTGGTTGGGAAACCTGACTCCCGGAACCCAGTCTCAGGTTGGGAGCTGTCAGATTAGCGAGGGATGGCGGCTCGTCTCAGCAGTGACAAACCACCGGAGCTCTGGGACGCGCGCGCGCAGGGGCCAGGGGGCGGCGGGGGTTGGGGTGGAGAAATTACATCCGTTCCATTTGTCTTAGCGATGGCGGGAACTAGGTCTCTGTTCCCTCAGGTGGGGCTTGAGCGCCCCCTGCAGGCCCTACTCCTCTCCACACTTCTCCCTCTGTCCCCTGTCCCCCTGCCAAGCCCCTAACCACCCCTGCCACGGACCCAACGTGGGGCACACTTCTGGTGGAAGAAAAGGCCTCAGAGCACCCAGTCCGATCAGCCCCAGAGACCGCCCCTGACCCTATGTCCTCTGGTCTTCCCTAGGTGCTGAGATCGCCTGCCAGGAACAATGACATCCTCCCGGCAGCTAGATAGGCCTGCGCCCGGGCCAGGTCACTCCGGGCCATGCCTGGGGGCTGGACGCCGCTGAGCGCTGCCACTGCGCTCCAGGTCCCTGGCACGCCTTGCCTCGCGTGGGGGCTGCGCACGCGCCCAGGTCCGGGTTAGGGCGGCTGACCATGGTGCTGCCGCCCCCGGACCGGCGCCACGTGTGCCTGACCACGCTGGTGATCATGGGCAGCATGGCCGTCATGGACGCTTACCTGGTGGAGCAGAACCAGGGCCCACGCAAGATCGGTGTGTGCATCATCGTGCTGGTGGGCGACGTGTGTTTCCTGTTGGTGCTGCGCTACGTGGCCGTGTGGGTAGGAGCCGAGGTGCGCACGGCCAAGCGCGGCTACGCCATGATTCTCTGGTTCCTCTATATCTTCGTGTTGGAGATCAAGCTCTATTTCATCTTCCAAAACTACAAGGCGGCGCGGCGCGGCGCGGCCGACCCGGTGGCTCGCAAGGCGCTGACGCTGCTGCTGTCGGTGTGTGTACCTGGTCTCTTCCTGCTGCTCGTGGCGCTTGACCGCATGGAGTACGTACGCACTTTCCGAAAACGCGAGGACCTGCGCGGCCGCCTCTTCTGGGTGGCACTGGACCTGCTGGACCTGCTGGACATGCAGGCCAACCTGTGGGAGCCGCCGCGCACCGGATTGCCGCTGTGGGCCGAGGGCCTTACCTTCTTCTACTGTTACATGTTGTTGCTAGTATTACCGTGCGTGGCGCTCAGCGAGGTCAGCATGCAGGGCGAGCACATCGCGCCGCAGAAGATGATGCTCTACCCGGTGCTCAGCCTGGCCACTGTCAACGTGGTCGCCGTCCTGGCGCGCGCCGCCAACATGGCGCTCTTCCACGACAGCCGCGTCTCGGCCATCTTCGTTGGGAAGAACGTGGTGGCACTTGCCACCAAGGCTTGCACCTTCCTCGAGTACCGTCGCCAGGTGCGCGACTTCCCGCCGCCAGCACTCGCTCTGGAGCTGCAGCCGCCGCCTCAGCGCAATTCACTGCCGCAGCCACCTCCCCTGCACGGTCCGCCAGGGCGCCACGGGCCCTCGCCCACGCGGGACGCCCTGGATACGTGACAGGGCCGCGGGGGCCCCCAGGGACGCCCCTGAGGTGGAGAGACGCAGCGGGTGGGCTGCGTGGTTTGCATGGAATGGGGTGGGGCGGGCTCCCCGCGGAGGGTGTGGCTGTGAGCCCCACGCTGGGCACCACAGATGCTTCTTCGTCTCAGGAATCCCTCGGACCGGGTCTCCTCCAGGCCTCGCTTGTTCATCTGCCCGCCTCAGGGTTTGGAGCAGATTGTGGGTCCTGGAGCTGAGCTGAGGCTTGTCTCCCTGCCTGCTGGGCCGTCTGGGTGGGAGGGAGGGCTGTTCTGGACCCAGGTGGAGGCCTCTGTCCAACTGCTTGGGCCCCGTCTGGCCTCTGTCATTTTAAAGACTCGTGTTTACAGTTTTGTATTCAAAGTGGCACTGCTCTGCTTGTTTTCGGTTCCTGTCACCAACAAGGGTGGCATTGGCAAAGAGGTGGGTGTGGTGGGAGCTGAGTGTGACAGTGGTGGGGGCCGGGTGGGCCCCTGGTTTCCTTTTCCCCTTCTTGGGGGCTCCTGCGTGGGCCACCACTGTCTCCCCTGTTCCCACTCCAGACATAGCATGACCCCAACTTACTGATCTCCCTGAAAGACTTTGATCCCTTTTGGAGTATTCCCAGTATCCTCTTGTTTTGTCTCCCACGAACACTCTAAGATCCGGAAGAGCGCCGGCACTCTAGTCCTCCCCATGCAAGGGTTCCTCCGCTGGACCGATGTGCTCTACCAGCCCAGGACAATCCAAAGCCAGGTGGGATCTGGGCCCAGCACTGCGCCCACTTGCAGCTTCAGGTGTTGGTCTCTGAGGCCCAGGCATTTTGGCATTCTAGCAGGGCAGGGAGGCCATCTGTTACCCACAGTCGAGAGAACGTGCTCAGGCAGGAATAGAGATACTAGGGCTCATTCTTCAGTCCCCCTCCCTGCAGGACTCTGCATCTGGTGATGTCAGCCTGTGGGTCACTGAACCCACCACTCATCTTTTATCTCAGGCCCCACCAGAGTGTTGAAATGGTGGTTTCAGGATCAGTAAGCCCAAATCACTGGAAGATCAATACTTGGGTCTTCTCGTAAGGTATATGCAGCCTCTATGGTTGCATGCAAGTCCTCAAGACACACTGCCCCCTGTGAAGCACACATTTCCTGTCAGGAACATTTTTGCTGTGTTTATGTCCACTTCCTGTGTTAGACAAGGACACTTGTCCATTTTTACAGGTGAACTAAGGCCAAGGTTTGGGTGTGTCTGTGGCTCCTGGAAAGGAAGCTAGGCCGGCTGCCTTTTGCCAATATCAGCAACTCAGCATAGTCCATTCCCAGCCAGCTCTGGGCACACTGATCTCCTCATTCCAAGCAGCTGACTTCTGGGACCAGTCTTCAGAGGTGCCACAATGCTGTCCTCATCAGGGGCCTGCAGCCAGTGTTGCTGTGTCCAGACCTGCTCCTGGCCTCACCCAGAGTGGTCACACAGACTGCCAGGCACAGGTGTGCAGACGTCAGGGCTCTGTAGTTCGGGTGGAGTAGAGCTGTGAAAAGGTGGTGTCAGAAAGGCATTCAGGTGGGAGTGTGGAAGGTGTACATTGTACTTGGGGACCCTTGAAGTTGAACCTGGAACTGGTGGCCAAAGCAGGCTGACACCCAGCTAGTTGAGACTTAAGGATGACAGGGCCTGAGCCCAGGCCTTCTCCCTGCGGAAGCCTCTGCCCTGTCCTGTCTCCCACTCCTGACAGAGGCAAGCCCAGGGCATCTCACTAGTGAGTCTGTGGTAACATATCACGGTGATGAGATTGGGAGGGTCTGCTGCAAGAGCTAGGGGCTCCGGACTTCTCGTTTCTTCGGTCTGAACCTGTCTTCACTTCCAGGAAGAAGCCCTCCTTGGCGTATCAGGAGATCCCTGATGGGGAGCAGTAACTGTGGTGTCCATTTTCACTTGGTGTCCTTCATGTCCCGCATCAGAGGGTGGGAAGTCACCATCCCGAGCTCACCTTTCTATTGGGATGAGGCGAGCCTGTGGTCCAAAGTGACCTTGCAGTCCAGTGCATTAATCCGCAGCACCACACCAGGATTCCTGGGAACCCTATGAATTGGAACTGGCTTGATGGCATGTAACAACAACAAAGTGTTTAGGTGTAAGGTGACACTCAGGGGATGAGGAGAAGGCATGTCTGGTCAATGACTTTTGTGCTACTTAATGGCTTTCAACTGGTGTTCTCATGAAGGCAGGTGCTTGGTGTTTTCTCTGATTTTTCCCTGAGCCCTGGGATGGCAGGACCATCTTACATTGTTCATGGTCCTTACAGTGTGCCCCTTCCTGCCTGGCTCTTACAATCTCACACACCTCCATTTTCCAAGATCTTCCCTGTGCCTGCTTAAGACATGGCTTATGTCACGAGAGCGTTACGTCCTGATTCTGTAAAATGCTGCAAAAGCAAAACCCTCACCAACAGGAAGGGCAAGGGTGACAAAACATTCCTCTAATGATTGTACATACTACAGGTATGTGCTGCTTGACGTCTGTTCAGGTGGTGTCTGACCATATATATGCTCGTGAGCCAGAACACCAGATCCTGGTCGTTGGGTTGGAGCCTCACTTCTGCCTGGAAGCCACGTGGTCTGTGAGGGTGGAAAACTCTCAACCCAGTCCCTTTCAGCTCCCGTGACCTGGCGAGTTTAGTCTAGGAGTTCTGCTTGGTATGCTTCCCTGGTGCCCCAGGTCTGGCATGATTGCCCTCAGTCCCAGTGGCCCACAACATCCCCTCTATGGTCAAGCGGGTCCTCCCTGTAGCTGATTAAAGAGAAAAGACAGCGTTCACCTGAGGCGTCCTTCTCAGGAGCCCCAGCCTGTGAACCCAGAGCCTCAGGCTCTGCTGACATAGGTGTTAGCCAAGTCTTTAAGTCACATAAAGTCTTATTTAACAGACACAGACCTTTAGCTTTGCATACTTGCCTCAGCCCACCAATGATCACCTTCCCTGCTCAATTCTATATAAGGCTTGTTAGTGAATGGATCAGTGAATGGGTTTCTAGTGCTCTGGTATCAGGAGCATACACACAACATTCCATTTCCAGTAAAACACATGTACCTTATTATGCCTCAGTGACCATCTCCAAAGCCATTTCATTTTCCAGCGCCCCCTTTCTCTTGGCTGCAACCTTGTCCAGCAGCCAGTGTGTGCTCAGTGTTGTTGAAGATCGAGGAGACAAATTTCCTAAAATTTCAACCTTAGCCATAAGAAAACATTTCAGTACTAAGAGTGACTGTCCTTTAGTGGAAAGAAACTTATTAGGTGCATAAGTAGGACATTGATTATTTTTTTATTAAAATATAACTACAACCATTTCCTACTTTTTCTACTTCGCCTGCAGCTTGTGGGGATCTCCCAGGCTGAGTGTACCATACCTTACACCCAAATGGGGCTTGGCAGGTGATTTATCAAAGAGGAGAACAACACCCCCTTGGCTATAGATTGATGTCTGTGCCTTTGTCTCCTTTCTTCCAGTGTTGTCCTGGTAAGAAATACAGGGCCGAAGGTTAGGGCATGGGCATTCTCCTGCCTTATTGGAAGTAGGATCCCTACCTATTCGCTCAGGACCTGCCATTGGCTACTCTCAGGGGGCACCTGTTTCTAGCAGGAATGCATTTGGTGCTGTCTTGCATATCATTATCACTTGAGTAACCCTTGAAACAAGGCTCTCTCTCCCACAAAACTCATAACCAAACCTACAGCATGTTGATTCTGACAGAGACTCTGTAGGACAAAGAATTGCCCCGTGTGCACTTGAAGGCTATAAATAGCATTCTGCCGCATCTCCCCTGTAGCAGCTACTGGCTGGTGGGGTTCAAACTGTCCATCTCTCAGCAGCCAAGCGCTTAACCGCTGTGCCAGCAGGGCTCCTTCTCCCTTCCATTGTGGGAGTTTTATTTAGAGCTTCAGGAAAAACAACTGCCCAGTGGCTCAAGATAGGCAAACCAGTGACTGCTCTTATTTGTTCCTTAAGGAGGCTGGGTTTTTTCCCGCCTTTCTTTCTTTCAAATAATGCTGCCCTCTGAGGGTTGTAAGTGCCTCTCTGAATCCTCTTTTTAAGTCTCTGTAAACTGAGACTGGAGCACTGTTCATTTCTTTGGGAGTACGGTACTTGGATACCCTTCTTTCCCCAAACTGAAAAGGTGGTAGTCAGACTGGCAGTGTTGCAGCGAAGGCTTGGTGCCATCCCTTGGAGGGATCCACAGGTGAGCCTGTGAACATCTGATCGGTCCCATGTGTCGCTGTTCCTCTTTGGAGAGGGAGTTAGAGGGCAATTTACCATATTGTTGTAAATGGTCATGCCACGGCAGGAAGGTACTGTTGTGTGCCCTGACTGACCATGGCTTGGCAGAGGACTACTGCCCACCTTCCTCTAGTGCTTCTTTGGTAAGGGCACTGTTTTCCTGTCATGGTGTAGCATCTCTGAACCCCCAAACAGCTGTGGCCAGAATCCTACTTTGTTGTTATTAGGTGCACAACAGAGCCAAATACTACCTGACTCTGCACCATCTACACAATTGTTACACTTGGGCCCACTGCAGTTGGCATGGTGTCAATTCATCCATTGATCCCCCCACTTTACCAAGCGCGATGTTCTTCACCAAGGACTGGTCCCTCCTGACAAATGTCCAAAGTACCAGAGAAGAAGTTTCCTCATCCTGACTCCTAAGGAGCACTCTAACTGAACTTCTTCCAAGACAGATTTGTCTGTCCATGATATTGTCAGTATTCCATAATCCCAATGTATCAATTCTTCTATGGTCTTCCTTATTCATTGCCCAACTTTCATATGCATATGAGGCAAAAGAAAATGCCATGGCTTGGGTCAGGCGTACTTTAATCCTCAAAGTGGCCTCTTTGCTCTTTAACATTTTAATGACGTTGTTTGCAGATCTGCTTAATGCAATGTTCTTGTTGTCAAGTGCAGTTGAGTATGTTTTGACTCAAAGTGACCGTATATAGGGTTTCCGAGGAG